TTTTTTTTTTCGAATACCACTGACCTGAATATCATTAGTTTCTCGTAGGATCGACTCCAACTCTTCAAGCTCTTTTTCTCTTTGCCTTTTTCTTTTCTGCGCCAAAGTCCTCTTCAAATTCAGCTCTCGCTTCTCAGCAGGCGTCAAACGGTGGTATCTAAAAGTATGAATGATGCCAATGACATGGGCTTCTTTGAAATGTTCATTCCCCTTCCAGACCTGTAAAGTCTGACAGTGATCTAACAATCTAAAAATCAGACAAACGCACCTCATCCTAGCGGCTTCAGCCTGGCGAGCCTTTTTCAAGCGCTCCTTCTCAGCTTTATCGGGAGAAATGGGAGATGTCTTTACATTCATGTTCACCGCCTTCCCATTCGCAGCCGTGACTAATGTACCACTTTGGTAGGTAATCTGCGGAGTAAGTTGTCCCACCTGAGAGTCAAACATGGCTTTGAGTTTATGGACATCTACATTAACACCTATAAAATGCATTTATCCCAACTTGTACCTGCAATCCTTGGATCGGTTGACTGGATTGAACCTAAATTGGATACGGTTCAATCAAAGGCCCTGATATCTTTATTGATCAATGTATAGACACCAACCTGAACCGTTTGATGGCTCGGTGTTGCCCACGTAGATGTTGAAGCTGGTTGATCTAAGAAGTAGGTGTCAAGTAGCTGGGAGATCCTTTTTTCGTCATTATCAGAAGAGAGGCGCATTTGTGACTGCGTGACTTGACCTCCACGGTTTGTCTGAGCTTGCTGGAGCTGAAAGAAGCATTACTGAATTCCTGCTGCGATACTTTCTGATGTCGCTATTATGTCTTTCTAGTTTTTCGATCTATCGCGGAATTTCTTCATTTTTGTGACGTGGCCGCAACCGACTCGAACTCAATATTTCATCCACTCTATCTATCTACAGTCATACAGTAATAATTGGAAAAACACGAATTTCGAGTTTCTGGTCACACCGTCCGTCAGTTATAGCTGAACCATGCAAGAGCGGTTGCTTGAATCGACGGCAAATTGAGGCTAATCAGCCAATTAAAGATAGAAGTCGAAGATGAAGTCATGTTTGGCCTGATCTGCTTGGATGTGTCGGTACACCCACACGTTTGACTTCGATTCAGAATCGAAGCATTGGATTTGGTCTACTCAATTCCTGCGGATGTCAGTTGACGCAGCCGTCAGTGCAGGGATAGAAGGCAGTATATAATTTGGTCCCTGACGCATATATGTGGTAGCTGTGCCTTTGGCACTGGCACTACCAACTTCCGTTCTCCAATAACAGATTAATGAAGTCAATAAAATACCATCGACAAAAAAGGCTTGACCAATCATCGTCAAATTCATTGAGATACTAGTTTATGCTAGAACGTTGTGCTTACCGTGATCGTGTTGTTTGGTATGAAAGCTGTAGAGCTTGAGGAATGAAACGGTGCAGTAGAAGAGGTGGTATACGTCGACGTTTGGTATGACGACGGGTGGAACGACATTGCCTACAAATCAAGACATTACTACGGTTTCATTCAACACCCTATTTTTTACAGCTTCGTGTAACGCAGAACGATCCGCAATTATTCTGAGCTCTACTTCACATGTACACCTTGTAGACAAATGGCCGGGAAAAGAGAGCTTGAGAAAAAATTCAGTTTACCGGTTCAATAATAGCTCTTGCAAACATCACCTAGCAAAAGCTATTGCTACGCAACCACTCAAGTGAGCGATTTCCAGCCCCACCACATAACCACGCTGTGACTGCTACTGTCTTAGCTGATAGTAAGCTTTACTTACGTCGCGGTCCTGCAGAACCCTTCGTGTTATCGACTTTTAAGACAAGAAACCGAAAAATAACGATAGCATAAGTATGCATCCCTGTCGCTCACGGTACATTTTACCAGCATTGAACTTTCCCTCACGAGCGGAAACCTTATGACAGTTGAAGGCAAAGAAAGGCCCACTTCTCTATCATGTTGCTAGCGGCGGACCATAAAATAAAGGTACTAAAAATAGTACGCAGTACTACTCCGTATTCCATCTTTAAGAGCATTTCGAGAGCTGAGCAATATCGGGTTAAAGTACCAACCTCTCGACCAACTCCATCCATGTATGCCTACTTTTTTCTCCCTGCTTCCAAAACTATTACTTATAACACTCAGATCAAAGCCCTGACTCTATTTGATTGAATAGACTTTTTTTTGAACAACATAATTTGAAGGTATCGAAAGAATCTTCTTACCTGTTGCCCCTGAGGGGCCCGAGGATCAGTGGTGTAAGTCGTATACGTCAAATTCTGATTCATCTGAAACAGGTTTTTGTTGAGTGACTGTGTATGCCATGTAGGCAACATACAAATAATAAAGAGTGCGAACGGCATAGATGGAAATCTCGAATGCGTTTTTTAATAGTCACATTTGCTCAGATAAAATTCATCGAAGATATCACGTAGCGAAGATCGCCGTATCATGATTTTACACTCAAAAATCAAAGTATATAAAGCGCTGTAGTGTCAGCTTAAGTCTGTTCTATGTTTTCATAGTAACCAATCAGCATAGCGGACCCTTCTTGTCTGCCATCTCAATCTCGATTCAACAGAAAAAGCAGTACCCTCTCCTCAACATACGAAATGCAAATCTTGGCTTAGATAAAAACGAAGGTGTTATGAAAAACATCCTCGTCACCATTGCGTTTTCCAGATCACCCAATCGCAGGTGTTCGCAACTGTCACCTTTACGCTTCTTATGTGACCATATTATAAGCAACGCAACATAGTTTGTGATAGAGTGAAATTATACTTCCTGGTTTTTGTCTATCCCGTTATTGGCACTGAGAAAGAGCACTGTGAGAGGAATCCCATTGAGTAAATTGGTCCAGGAACAAACAAAGAGTGGGTTGCCGGGTAACTGTAGAGGCAAAATCCGGGGCGGTGAAGGGTACAATCCATCAGGAACACCTACGGAAACTGATAGGCTACGACCCCGAATGATCAAAGCAGACCAGGTTCAATGAAATAACCTAATTGAATAGTGTAAACATAATTCATTCTTATTTCATTTTTCAAACTACATCATCGTGACACTCAACATCGCGTAGATTTACCTCGAGGGATTTGACTTGGGACCTTATTTGCCATGGTTACAAAGTCAATCGCCTCAGTTGCAGCATTATTACGAATCGGAAACTGGAGTGCTACTTGCGATTTCAAGAATATTGACCCGTAACATCTAAATCGAAAATCAGAAAGGAAAAAGCTGTATGCCTGACACCACGAAGTGAAGCAATTAGCACTCATCGTTGTTTTGATTAATCTCTATCATTTCCTCTTTGAGAAAACTTGAATAGTTGACTTTTTGTAGAACTCTTTATAAACTGTGCCTGCAAGCCACATTGTAAGGTTGAGCAATCGTTGCTCCAGATTCACCTTCACGTCCTCACTCGCCTAAGCGAACCCAGCACTTTTTACAGCTCTGCTTCCACTATCATCCAAAGCGACTCTTACCCAGGAAATTGCTAGCGTGACTTTTCTCGTAAAACACATAGCCACCTTGTGATTATTAATTACTGCCATAAACCGAAACTTTCTTTTCAAGAAGACGATAACCGCTAAACGTTCATTTAACCGCAGATGACAACTGGCTTCGAACCCCAACATAAATTCATTTCTTGATGTTCACGCACATTAACCAATTAATCACACTTGCTTCGACAGCATGATACAAGATTCAAGAACTGATGAAATGTATCTGAGTAGAAGCCTATCCAAATAGAAAGCGTCTTCTTCCCTAAGTTCTTGTCGCAATTCCTCGTTGAAACTTGGAAAAACCGCGCCTTATCGCTACTTTTCAGTGAAGAACAAATAGTGAACATGTTGTTAGAAAGGAAGCTCAAAAAATAAAGGGAGACAGTCTAATTAGTCCATCAGCCAAGATGAACTAGGGGTTTCATTGAAGTGTGTTACCCGCTGAAATTAGTTGCGCTAATATTTGAATGTGGCGGCTAATCATGTTCTAATTTGTTTAACCAAGCCCAATAAGAGCTTTATTGGGAAGACTCCTGGGTGTGACCTATGTGATGGGCAGAACCCAGGGGGTCGAGTACGTCCTGGAGGCCTTCCTCCCCAGATTTTGAGTAAAACCGGCCTAAGTTTACGTTGTTATTGAACTTAACCCTGAATGGATTAAATGTACTCAATTCGTCTATCGCTATACTGCCAACATGAAGGCAAGAAATGTAGCAAATTTAGAGCAGTAAGGTCTCAAAATATTAGAAATAGGCTGCCTATTTTCAAATCAGTGTTCCATTTTGCCGTAGTGAGATAATTCATAGGGGCGAATTAAGGCACTTCCCCATTCCAATAATACATGCCCGACTTTGTTGTTTTGTAGGTGCCTGATGTTCACTTTATCGTCAATTGATGTGTTCGGCGTCAACACCTTTAACACGGAAATTGCCGGGAGTTCACTCACTGCATGATCAGCGAATTTCCATGGCAGACCCAGTTATAACTATACATTCGACAAAGGAAATGAAATCGGATATTGGGACTGGGCATAAACAGCTCTCGTAGTGTGTAACATGAAGATGCTGCCCCTTATTGTCAACAGTGCCAGGTCCTCCCTAATAGTTCTCCTTAACCGCAACTTTGCCTCTCTCTACAGTGCCTCTCGGTGCAATTTCCCGGATCGCCATGTATCTAAGAAGTCGTGATTAGCTCAATAATTCCTTATCAATGAACTATCTTTGAAAATAGAGGGTGAGACACTCCCTAATATCCGGATAGGCAAATCATCGTTTGTGAAAAGTCGGAGTGTATGGAATGGTACAGAGTGAAAGAGTACAGGGAGGATTACAAAATGTATGCGACTTGGGTGCAAAGTCTAAAGTAGTTGATCCCAATAGGCTCGATCCTCGATTTAAATGTAGAGACTTTGAAAATTACAAAAATCAAACAAAACTGTCCAATCTTAGGGTTTGAATCTAAGTAGTCTTTTGGGGCACGGAAAAAGTAATGTATTGTGAGCAACAAAAACAACTGGATTAAAGTTGAGGGAGTGTTTCAATCTTCTGTNTACAAAGTGAATGCGACTTGGGTGCAAAGACTAAAGTAGTTGATCCCAATGGGCTCGATCCTCGATTCAAAAGTAGAGACTTTGAAAATTTCAAAAATCAAACAAAACTGTCCAATCTTAGGTTCAGAATCTAAGTAGTCTTTTGGGGCACGGAAAAAGTAATGTATTGTGAGCAACAAAAACAACTGGATTAAAGTTGAGGGAGTGTTTCAATCTTCTGTTCACAGAGTTTCGATCATTTGCAATCTCGGATCCAATTATAGGGAATGACCTAAACACTACTGGTGATCATGCCCTCGAACGTTCAATGCCTCAGCAAATTGAAATCGCACGCACCCTCGAAGGACTGCCATTTGTAAACAACGACCTGCTGCACCGTCTCTACCAATGCTCTGCGAAACGCTGTCACCATTTCTTCCCTCTGATTTCGCTAGTCAACACGCCTGCCCATCGCAGCATGGTCGTCTGTCAGAGATTTTCTTCTGATGTGACACCGAATTTCGCCTATCCAATGGTGGAGCAACTCGGTGACTATCGCGCATATGTTAAAGACGTGCCTAGCCTGTCCTAGTTGAGGGCGTGCCACCATGATCCATCAAAAACATGGTTCTAAACGTGGTCAGATTTAGACATTAGCACTTTCACAAAGCATTGACCATATTGATTAGGACGAAGCAGCGCATGGAAGATTACAAGCGTACTTGTTCTCTATTCCAGGCAATCTTAATGGGCATTGGTTCGTGCATGACAAGCGCCGCATCCATAAAGGCCAGCTGTTTCGTATGATCGCTACTGAATTAGGTCCGGCAGCGCCAAGTAAATTATGTGACTGAGGAACTACTAACGAGGGTTTTAGGTGCCAGGAAAATCGCTAACTTTTTCGAAACTTATTTTCATTTGACATGCAAACACCATGGACAAATGCTAGGTATCTGAGTCACAACGTGAAAGCTGTATTTAACTTTTTGAGTTGAGCGCCGAGATTGCAAAGGTGAAATGACGGCTGATCATTTGGATTTGAGTGAAAGAAGTGAAAGAAGCACTCTATCACTTAACTGGAAAAATTCACTTTTTTTTTGCAACTCTTGCTTTCTTTCAACTCTACAAAATTTCAATATGGGGAGACAAGTTTACCCATCGCGCAAGTTAAGAAACAAAAATTGGACAGAAACAAAAATTCAGTACGGGAACCCGTCTCTTATAGTGACCGGGCTAATAGTCCCAGCTGCAACACCTGGTCGCACGGGAACTTAGGTACGCGTTGCTAACATAATCCCACTGTAGAACTCAGCTATAATGCATCATAGTGTTAAATGCATTACTACTTCTTTTCCAAATGCGCAGCCCATTCGAATATACGACGAGATTACAATGAGTTCATCCAAAGGAGGCTATGCCGTGGAATAAAATAGGTTGCCCGTGAAGTT